GAAGCATCTTACTATTTGGAATGCTAACCAATTTTTAAGCTTTTTTTGGAGACTTCCTTTCCACGTTCCACTGCCCACATTTTAGATACACAATTCTCAAACAACACTCATATGTGTTTACAAATTAGTAACATTCTAATTTAAACACACCTTTTCTCATTAACGGACTGGGATTAAGTTCTTCTCCACTATTTCTTCCCTACAATTTTCTGTCAACGGCTTTGAACTGTTGGCAATTTTTATTTCTAATTTTCAGAACTTATATGGAAAGATACCTGGCCAGCATGGCAAAACCCACCTCCATCAAAAAATACAAAAATTAGCGCCTGTAGTTCCAGCAACTAGGGAGGCTGAGGTGAGTGAATCGCTTGAACCGGGAGGCAGAGGTTGCAGTGAGCCGAGATTGCACCACTGCACTCCAGCCTGGATGACAGAGTGACACTTCTGAAAAGAACTTATATGGGAAGAAATGCCAGACTTAACACTACCTTTTTTTTTTTGAGTTAGTGTCTCGCTCAGCCTGGAATGCAGTGGCGCAGTCATGACTCACTGCAGTCTCGCACTCCCAGGTTCAAGCAATCCTCCCACTTCGGCCTCCTAAGGGATTACAGATGGGTGCCACTGTGCCCAGCTAATTTTTTTATATTTTGTAGAGATGGAGGTCTCACTATGTTGCCCACGCTGGTCTGGAATTCCTGAGTTCTAGCGATCCTTCCACCTCGGCCTTCCAAAGTGCTGGAATTACAGGCATGAGCCACCTGGCCTCCTTTAAAAGTCATTCAAACATACTATATTCAAAACTTTCCGCCGGGCGCGGTGACTCAAGCCTGTAATCCCAGCACTTTGGGAGGCCGAGGCGGGTGGATCACAAGGTCAAGAGATCGAGACCATCCTGGTCAACATGGTGAAACCCCGTCTCTACTAAAAATACTAAAAATTAGCTGGGCATGGTGGCGTGTGCCTGTAATCCCAGCTACTCAGGAGGCTGAGGCAGGAGAATTGCCTGAACCCAGGAGGCGGGGGTTGCGGTGAGCCGAGATCGCGCCATTGCACTCCAGCCTGGGCAACAAGAGCGAAACTCTGTCTCAAAAAAAAAAAAAAAAAAAAAAAAAAACCTTTCCTATGAAAGGAAACCATTCCACCAGGCGCAGCGGCTCACGCCTGTAATCCCAGCATTTGGGGAGGCCAAGGCCGGCAGATCACCTAAGGTCAGGAGTTCAAGACCAGCCTTGCCAACATGGCAAAACCCCATCTCTTCTAAAATTATAAAAATTAGCCGGGTATTGCCGGGCGCGGTGACTCAAGCCTGTAATCCCAGCACTTTGGGAGGCTGAGGTGGGTGGATCACGAGGTCGAGAGATCGAGACCATCCTGGTCAACATGGTGAAACTCCGTCTCTACTAAAAATACAAAAAAAGTAGCTGGGCATGGTGGCGCGTGCCTGTAATCCCAGCTACTCAGGAGGCTGAGGCAGGAGAACTGCCTGAACCCAGGAGGCGGAGGTTGCGGTGAGCCGAGATCGTGCCATTGCACTCCAGCCTGGGTAACAAGAGAGAAACTCCGTCTCCAAAAAAAAAAAATTAGCCGGGTATCATGCTGCACACCTGTAATCGCAGCTACTCAGGAGGCTGAGGCAGAAGGGAATCACGTGAGCCTGGGAGGCAGCCGGGCAGTGCAGCAAGATCCTGCCACTGCACTCTAGACTGAGTGACAGAGCAGAGTCTCAATTTAAAAAAAAAAATAAAAAAAATAAAAAAATAATTCCAGCACTTCAGGAGGCCGAGGCAGGAAGATCATGAGGTCAAGAAATTGAGACCATCCTGGCCAACATGGGGAAACCCCGTCTGTACTAAAAAATACAAAAATTAGATGGGTATGGTGGTGTGTGCCTGTAGTCCCAGCTACTTGGGAGGTTGAGGCAGGAGAATGGCTTGAACCTTGGGGGCAGAGGTTGCGGTGAGCCAAGATTGCATCACTGCACTCCAGCCTGGCGCCTGGGGACAGAACAAAACTCTGTGTCCAAAAAAAAAAAAAAAAAAAGGAAATCATTCCTCCATTTTCTTGTTGTTTTAAATAGGATATATTTTCAATAGGATTTTAAATAGGGTAAATTTTATAAATAATGGTTTTATTAGCAATATTAGTCAACTCCATGCTGATATATGCTAAATATATTCTACAATAGGTTGATTTTGCCTTGCCAATACAACTCTTTCCAACCCGAAGATGTCACACTTCTGGGTTAACTGGATTGTGCATCTGAATCACTATGAGACAACGTTCCTGTTCTTTCACTGCTTGTTGACGGGCAGCTCTGTGAATGATAACACTGCCCCCAGGACAGGGAAGCACGGGAGATTTCCAACCATGAGCCGCTCATGACACCATCCCTGAGGTCCTGCCATCGCTGAAGACAGCAGTAAGAGTGTGACTCCCCGCAGCCTGGAAACGCCTCTGCCCAGGCAAGCAGCTCTATCACCAGACAACCCAAAAATCAAAGGAACATGGCGCTGCAGTCAGGAGTTACAAGCTCAGCCTAAGTGGGGCCACCCTGTCCCCGGGCAGCCCAGCATTTTCCTGAGCACAGATACTGTTGGTTGCCCTGAGACAGCAGGGTACCCTGGGCCGAAGCAGCCCCAGAGCAGCTCCAGTCCTCTTCCTCTCATCTTCATTTTAAAGATGAGGAAACTAGAATCTCAGATGGAAATGAATGCATGACTTGGCCAAGGTCACCCCACAGCGTCCGCCAGGGCTACTGTGACAGCCAGAGGCCCAAGCTCCACCCTGGGCACATGGAATCCAAACAGGGCACCCTCAAGGCCAAGCCATGACAGAAACTACACTGCAGCTCTGGGTTCTTCATCGCCCACAGGAACTTCTCTGCCCAGCAGACATCGTAACTGGTGGACTCTAATGATGGACTCTGTCCACACCTTTCCCAAGTGGTGACAACGACCTGTCCAACACTAGCACAGCCTGACAAGTGATGGGGCAGCCGTTCTCAAGCACATGAGGCCCTGTGGGCAGAAAAGGCTTGTTCTTTGGTGTAGTTCCTTAGAACAATAGCTCTCAATGTAGGTACCCAGGGGTGCTTTGAGACCCGGGGGGCATATTCGGTGGTCAGGATTAAGAGAGTACTGGAATTTGGCTGGCGGAGGTGAGGGAGGTTGCATCCCTCAGTGAGTAAGACAGTCTCGCCCAACAAGAACCCTTCACGTACAAAACTTACGATGAACCAGAACTTCATGAGTGGAAAACAGGCTTCTAACTCTCTGATCCCAGAATCGCACTCTATTCAACATTCACGCACTAAACATTTTTGCATGGTTTTACCATGACTTGAGTTTTCCACGAATTCAACTATTACATAAGTCTAGAAAAAATTATACTTTGCTTTACTTGAAACTTCACTAGGAACTGCTCGCCCTTCTGTAATATTCGATCACCAGCTGGTGTCTGAACTCACAGAGTCACACAGGTCAGCCTGCAGGGACCGCCCCTCCCCATCAGCAGGACGCAACACACCAGATGGGAGACCGGCTTTCTCACGGCCGACCATCACCATGTTGAAATGGTTATCTTATTATACACTACTATCACATTTATCCTCTATAGTGGGGGCAGTCTATTAACTTTAAGTTATATTTTCATTTTTTTCTTTTTGAGACATAAATGATATTTTCTAAACACTACATTTTAGAGTAAGAGAACACTACCAAAAAAACTATCCTAAAAAAAAGGCATTGGGTCTGACAGCTTTGCACACCCGACCTGAGAGCCCCACGGCATCCCTGCAAAGGACAGGTCGACACACACCTGCTGAGAGGACACACGTGGGTGACAGCATTGCCAGGGTGAAGGTACATCTCAGAGGAGCACAGACGATCCCTATCTCCCGCCTGTGAACTGAGATGCCAACTCCACCACTAGCAGCGGAGCTCGGAGGAGGGCCAGGTAGCATTTCCAAAACCCCCGGCATGCCTAAGAGTTCAAAGAGGCACCACTGCTTCAGCCAGCACGGCAGCCATCATCTGGAGCTGCCCCCAGACAAGCCAAGACAAGCTGCCACCTCGGTACTAGGGTATATTCATGAACATCCCAAACCCAGCCAGCTCAGGAGCCCCTGCTCTCCGTCCCCACACTCCCCGGGGAGGTCTACAGAGTCCCTAACCCAGCACCAGCCACCAGCACACACAGTCCTTCCAGGCTTGCTGTGGCTCCCATTCCTCAGCGTTCACATGTCCCCTGACCGCCCCCCGCCATCCCACCGTGCTCTCTCCTCGCAGACACACTGGGCAGAAGGTTGCGGCTGAGCCAGGGAAGCTAAAGAGAGCAGCTCTTAGTCAAAAGGCCCTCATCAGGCACAAAGCCATGTGGTGTCTACTGCCTTAGGCAGGACTTCCTTTTGGCCAGGTGTGCAGAAGGCTAGCGACACCGGTGCCCGAGCTTTGGCGCGAGCTGCCAGCCAGAGTGTCCAACACGAAGCCTCGAGTGAGCAGAGGCCCAGGCAAGTCCGAGACTTTCTAAGACACTAAAGGTTCTATTAGCATAGCACGTAAACTACCACACAGCTTCTAAGATCAGACTCCACTTTTTAAAACTAAGCACAGTAAAAACTACAGACTTGAATGGAAAGTTTGATATATTCACATGAAACGTACAAACACCACATACGAGGAAAAACAGATCTGGAGACCGGCCAGGTAGAGAAGTAAAAAGGAAAGCAGCACATGTACATCTTCTGAGATTTGGTGGGTACGTTCCAAAGAAGAGACGCCTCGCTCTGGGGTACGTGGAAAGGAAACTTCAGGTCGTCCTGGCACGATGCCAGGTATTCGGGTTCGGACTAACTCAAGTCAGCTTTACTTAGAAACTGCTGAGACCGAGGCAGACACCTCGCACCTCCAGCCAACTAAGCAACTACACCGCGGGCCAGGGCGAGGAGGTGACACGCTGCTCCCCAGGTGACCCGAAGGCCCGGCACCCGGGTCTGTTCTTACCATCGCACTTTGTTGCACGTCTGCGTTGCCCCGAGAGGGGAGCCGGCCACCATGGGCACCTGGATGGGGCTGTGCTGCTTGTTGGTGACCAGGTCCAGCTTTTCTTCTAAGGATTTACACGTAGCCTCCAGCGCCTGCAGCTTGGCCTCAATGCTGTCCAGCCGCAAGCAGATTGTCTGGTTGATGGAATACAGGAACGACTGAAAGTGGAGAAACACCGGCTTTAGAAAGGGTCTCCTGACCGCAAGAAGACAACCCCAAGAAACACCGAACAGCGCTTTTCTGATTTCAACTCCATCTACTAGGACAGAATGATGCCCACAATGGAACTAGCTTATTGGCTATAAGCCAGAAACAGCTGAGTAAAAGTTCACATGTGACATACAAGTCACACTTCCTGTTTAAAATGTGATGACTTAATCACCGTTTTACTTCTATGAACAGTTGCAATTTTTAGTTATGCTGATGTAATAAAAAAAGTATATAGTTTAATATATTATTGATCAGTCAATTTACACATACCACTAATCAAACCTTCTCAACAATAAAAACAGACTACACTTAACATCAGAACAGCATAAAAGCCACAGGCCATGCACATTCACATGACACCGGCTGCCTAATCTGAAGGTGACAGGCCCCCGACGGCCCTGACTCGGGGATTTGGTCACAAGGCTCCGTGGGGCTCAAGCAGCAAGCACGCCACCTAGGGGCTGGCAGAGCCAGGCTCCACATCTGACCTTTCCAGCAGAGTCTCCGGATTCCTCACTCCAAGTAACCACAGGGAGCAGTGATATGCCGGACTCCAAACCCAAGAAACAGAGCAAACACACAAACCAGAAAGGAAAGAACCTCATTTCCCCAGCGGCCATCCCAGCCAGGAGCCACCACGAACACACACGGAACGTCTTAATCACGCAGGAACTGCACTGTGCAAAAGAGACACCCTCCACCAGGTCTCACTAGCAGACAAAAGGACGCTCCTTTGTGTCTAGGGAGGGGCGGGTTGGGAACACCCACCAGTCCTGCTTAGCAGTCAGGAGGGCTGGTACCTGCCTTAAGAATCAGTAGCTGAAAACAGCACAGAATTTGTGTTTCATCTTTTCTCTCTCCTTTTCTGCCCATGATTTAGAGCGAGGGGCCCAAAGTGGAGCCATCAGAAAGAAGGGGGAGGTAGGTTCAGGAGAGCAGGGGCAGCACACAGCAGTCACTGAGAGCTGGCCGTGGGGCCTGCAGCACAGGGGCGAGGGAGGCGGCCCACGGTGGCGCTCGAACGGCTTCCCACTAACTGGAGCTGCACTGCTACACTGCTGACGGCCCTCTCTCCTTTCTGATCTCAAGGGAACGTGCAGAATATCAAGATTACAGCGCTAACATACATCATGTCGCTGGCATCGAAACCTGGTGCATAGTGGCAGGGACAGCACCACAGGAAGGACAATCCACAGATCGCCCAACAGCTCACCTTCGTCTCAGGTCACCGCCTCTCCTGGTAAGACTCAGCACAAGGGCGCTGACATAGAAAGGAGCTAAAGAAACCAACTGAAATTCACCCTCCTTGACTGACTACTCTGTGCTCGACTGTGACACTGAAGCCGTGTGTGGGAGGGAAGGCGGCGCGGCATCAGGGGGATCCGAGCCCATGTGATGACGCCCAGTCAGCCTATCTATGAAGAAGGCAAGGTCCATGGCGTGACAAACATGTTCGTCTTGAAAAGCAACAATCGCTGGCTGAATCCCTGAATGGCCACTGATAACCCCACTATTTTCAACAACCTGAAGGTATCAAATGTGTGGCTCTCGAATTCTTTAAGCAGTACACCCACATTATTTTAATTCTGAATTACAAATGACTCTGCCTGGAGTTTGGGTGAATATCACTCTTACATACTAATAAAACAACCTAGAGCCATGCACAACTCCATCCACATGGCAGGATTCAACCGGGGCCCAACCTCTTCACAACAGTGGGCCAAGGATGAAGGAGGCACGGCCACTTCCAGGCCCACTTTACATACTTCTGTGCTGTGTCAGTGTGTCTTCTGTGATAAAACATCCACTGCACATTATTTAGGGAATAAGGTGGTGTTTACTAACAGAGCCACGTTCTAGCCATTGGTCGGAAACAGGCATTTTACTGGGAATGAATTTTCAGTTTCTCATACACATTTCACTGCATCTCCTTGTTAACAAAACAAATTAAATATTAGCAAATAGACACCGTGTGTGAATAGAGGAATTACATGAAAAGTGACTTTGGTTTTGTGTTGCTCTCACAGACTTCTCACATGTGCTGATATTTACCTCTGTGACTCTGCAAACACTGGAACCAATCAAATTCAAAGATCCAAAAATCATTCACTGAGCAGTACCCAAGAACCCTCTAGTAAACTTTAGAATTTAGGTGACTCAAATGACAGGCACAGAAGTCATTCATCGCTGGCAGAAAATACAGCCACAGTAAGTTCACCCTCCTGCCATCCAAAATGGGCCTGCAGGAGTGTGGGAGGATGCTTCATTCAACAGCATATGAAGGCTGACAATTCTTACTCTTTGTGCTCTTCAAGAGAAAAAATGGCTCACACTCATCTATAGTGGGCTGCCTGGTGATTCCCAAAAACTGACACGCCGACATCCTAACCCCAGAATGCATCCACGAGGCCTCGCTGGGAAAGGGTCTGTGCAGATGTAATTTAGTCAATGAGGTCAGCCTGGACTAGGGTGGCCCTTCAATCCAATGACAAGTCCTTTCTAGAGGAGAGAAAGGGAGACACACACACACAGGCGGCAGCCACATGAAGAGGGAGGCAGAGGCTGGGGCGAGCCCACAGCTGAGCGAGGCCCACAGCCTAGCAGCTGGAAGAAGCAGGAAGGATCCACCTTCCAGAAACTCTGGAGGGAGCGAGACCCCGCCCACACCTTGGTTTTGGATTTCTGGCCTCCAGAGCTGACAGGCTCCACTTTTAAGCCATCCTGTTTATGGTAATTTGTTACAGCAGCCCTAGAAATCTCCGATGCACTATACGTCACAGAACAGAGTAAAAGTTTTACCTTTATAGAGGGATCCTGGCAATTGATTTCTAGTCGCTGGCGTTTCAAAGCAGGTTCGTCTTCATCTGTCACTACATGATTCTCCAAAACAACTGAAATCAGTGACAGAGAAAAAAACGTTTAACATCAAAAGTTTTACATAAGTATTTTAACATTAAGATAGTAAACAGCACTGACACCTTAAGGTTGAATGAGAAATAGCAGAATCTATTTCATATTCTATCTGTAACTGCAAATAAGTAAATTTTAAAAAATTGACTGGGTCTAGGGAAAAGGACGGGAAAGGTCACAAACAGAAATGTCGTTTGCCAAGATGAGGCAACTGTGGCCAATTTTGGCCTTTGATTTTGAGGTTATCTCCGACATTGTTTTTGTAGTCAATTTCAGACAAGAGGAAGGTCAGGACCACACTGAGGCCGCCCCAAGCCAGGGCTCAGTTGCTTATCCTGTGGGAAGCCATGAAGATCCCCTGACACTTGCTGTGTGATGAGAACAGATATTATATACATGCCTACATTAGGAGCTTACTGTAGCACTCCTGGTAGAAAACAATCAGAAATCTGAATGCTGGCCCTTCGGCACATGCGCACCTTGGCACACCATCTGCCTGCGTTCAAGGGCACCCACACCACAGCCAAGCAGGATGACCTTACTGTGGCCAGATGACACCTGCCCACTCTGCCAATACTGACTGTGTCCCAGCCCTTCCCACACCACCAACCTCCAGCCACCTCCACCAGGGAAATCAAACCACCTTCTGTCCAGCCCCACTCAAATGCCACCTTGTTCAGAAATCCATTCCCAGAAGAGCCTCAACTCACACCTGTCTATACTGTGACACCAATAAGGTCACAGCACCCACCCCAGGGCAGACCACCCTCTCAGCACCTTACACACAGGCTGCCCACAGATGTGGGCAAAGCACTCCGGCCAGGCATTCAGATTCTCCAGGTGCTGAAGGAGGGCTGGAGGGGAAAGTCCAAGAGGAAAGCCGAGTGCACACCTCTCTAGCCTCTGCCTCCACCTCAGCCAAAGCAACCCCCTGGACATGTTACACAGGCTGACATTCTGAAGAAGATCTTAACTGGAAAATAAAAAAGAGCACCCATGCCTTTAAGCCTGTACACACGAGATGATTCATCTCGAAACTCCAAAATTTAAAAATGCTGAATCGTCCCATGGTTCTAACAGGAACCTCTCACAGGTCCTAGACAAAAGCAGTCACATCTGATCTATCCGGTGGGAAATTATCCAAAGCCAAAGACCACTGTCAACTCCCAAGCAGCACAGCATGCCAAGGGCTCTGCCTTCTGCCTGGCGAATCCCAAGGCAGGAAGTGCGTCAGCCATCTCCACCGAAGCCTTTACAGATGAATTCTCACTCAACGAAACTTTTACAACTCCATGCCTACAAGTGCCTGTGGCTAGTCAAAGGTTCTCAGGACCTCAATCAAAGGCTCTTCACTCTGAGTGGAAACTGGGCATCAACCCAGGCCTGAAAGAAGAGAGAGAGATCCTCCCACGAGTTACTCTAACCTTCTAATTTACCAAGGAGAAAACAAGTCCAGAAAGGTTACGGGACCTCTGTGGGGTCAGAGAGCTACTTTCATCGTGACAGCAGATAAAAGTAATGACCCAGTAATGACCCCACAGGCAGTGGAACAGCAAGTGAAATTTATTTTCTTCTTTGTACTTTGTTATTTGTATGTGTTTCTTTTTATAATTTTGCACGCATTACTTTTAGAATTAGACAAAAGAATTCATTGTTCATTTTAAAGATATCACAACCAGGCCAGGCGCAGTGGCTGTCGCCTGCAATCGCAGTACTTTGGGAGGCCGAGGTGGGTGGATCGCCTGAGGTCAGGAGTTCGAGACCAGCCTGACCAACACAGTGAAATCCCATCTCTACTGAAAATATAAAAATTAGCCAGGTATGGTGGCATGATGGCGCAGTGGTGCGCACCTGTAACCCCAGCTACTCGGAAAGCTGAGGCAGCAGAATCACTTGAATGCAGGAGACAGAGATTGCAGTGAGCTGAGATCATGCCAGTCCAGCCTTTAGACAGAGCAAGACTGTCTCCAATCAATCAGTCAATGAATAAAGACATCAAATCAACTGTAATGACAGGCCCGATGCAAGTCACAATTTTTACATTCCGACAGGCAGAGTAAGCACAAGCCATGGTCAGTACACACCAAATCAGAAGATCCCAGAATTCTTTCTTTTAAATAAAAATAAGGAAAAATTGGAAAGACAGACACACCAACAATTTAAAAGCTGCTACACCCAGGAGGGTCATGGAAACTTTTTATTTTTTCTACCTTCTTGACTATCCTGCTAAATTTAATTAGATGTACACTTTAGCGATGAGGAAAGTACTTTAAACCCACTGTGGATGCAAACATTTGTGATACGCCACGGTATCTGCAGCTCTGCGTGCCTTCTCCTGGGTTGCAGAGCAGGTTTGTATCAGGGCAGGCCTCAGAGATCCACACACAGTAGGCTTTTAACAAATTCTTAAGAAAGGCATTTAAGGAGCAGAGATGGAACAACATCAAGATTAGAAATTATTTCTCTAAGCTTTTTAGGGCCACAGCCTACAAAGAGAGAATTTATTGGGGAAGTAGGCTGTCAGAATTTTAAAGGTCTGAAATCACTTACAATGTATGTAATTGGAACACTTTTCTTTTATAAGATTACAGTGAATGTTTTCTAAAGAAACTGTCATTTGCCTTCTAAACTAGAAACAGGAATTTTAAAAATTATTCTGTGCAGTGATCATGTGGAAAACGAACCCGCAGCACTCCTGAGGTGCTGCCTTCACACTTCCCAGGACGGCTCGCTTCATTCCTAAACTATTTCTCTCACCCAACCCTTCCACACTACAACTAGTCTCAAAGGTCATTTCCTCCATTAACACAGCAAATAGATCATACAAACAGACACCAGACTTTCTCATAACGTTTCTGCAAATTCTTTCTTCTGGAGAAATAACTGTCAGCGTTTGGATTCTAACATTCCTGAGAGAATGAGCAGACACCCGAAATGCTCAGTGACTTAACTGTGGCAGGCGCTCACGTCAAACCTAACAAAACGATAAAACATGTACTGCTATATAGCAAAAAAGAAAAAAAAAAGAAGAATCTTTTTAAACAGTTAAGTGTGCACAAAGTATTCTCACAGATAAAGACATGAAGTTGCTGAAATTGAGGGTTCCATTTCTCAAAACTATCCTTAAAACAAACATTTTGTTATGATTTCAAAGTAGACACGTGCCTTTAACATCATTTTTAAAAATTATCAGTCTTAGTTAGAAAAAACTTGTTCTCAAGTATTGTCAGTGGAAGAGTAAATTACTAAAACATTTCTGTTTTCTGGAAAACCTGTCAGTGTCTTATCAAAATTTTAAACATACACAGCAATTCTACTTCTGGGAACTTATCTATTTGCCGGGATATATACGCAAAGGTCTTCTCCATAGGGTTGTGCATAAAGGAAAAATCAGACAGACTATGCGAGGAGCCCTGCAAAAGGGAAGAGTCAACAGGGAGGGGCACCTGCGAGGGAATACTGTGGAGCTGTGAAAGAGAGCAGACTCACACACGCAACACGGCAAGGCTCCGTGACGCTGCACACAGGATCACACACACAACACAGTAAGGTTCTGTGACACTGCACACGGGATCACACAGACAACACGGTAAGGCTCCGTGATGCTGCACACGGGATCACTCACACACAACACGATAAGGCTCTGTGATGCTGCACACGGGATCACACACACAACATGGTAAGGCTCCAGAATGCTGCACACGGGATCACACACACACAACACGGTAAGGCTCTGTGACACTGCACATGGGATCACACACACACAACACAGTAAGGCTCCAGAATGCTGCACACGGGATCACACACAACACGGTAAGGCTCTGTGACGCTGCACATGGGATCACACACACACAACATGGTAAGGCTCTGTAACGCTGCACACAGAATCACACACACACAATACGGTAAGGCTCCAGAATGCTGCACATGGGATCACACACAACACGGTAAGACTCCACGATGCTGCACACGGGATCACACACACATACAACACGGTAAGGTTCCAGAATGCTGCACACAGGGGATCACACACAACATGGTAAGGTTCCATGACGCTGCTCACAGGATCTCACACAAATACAACATGGTAAGGTTCCAGAATGCTGCACACAAGGGATCACACACAAGATGGTAAGGTTCCATGACACTGCACACGGGATCTCACACACATACAACACGGTAAGGCTCCGTGATGCTGCATACGGGATCACACACAACATGGTAAGGTTTCAGAACACTGCACACAGGGGATCACATACAACATGGTAAGGTTCCATGACACTCCACAAGGGATCACACACACATACAACATGGTGAGGTTCCATGATGCTGCACACGGGATCTCACACACATACAACATGGTAAGGTTCCATGACGCTGCACACAGGAGATCACATACAACATGGTAACGTTCCAGAATGCTGCATACAAGGGATCACAAACAACATGGTAAGGTTCTATGACGCTGCACACGGGATCACACACACACATTTTAAGGCTCCATGACGATGCACACAGGGACAGGGCAGGGGACATGGTATAGAACACACACACACACACACACACACACACACACACACACACACCCAAGGAGTGGGAGCAGGGGTGGCCCTTGAGACAAAGTGCTGCAGGGCCCCCTCCAGAAGGGACAGGGGGCTGAGGCTGCAGAGGGGAGAGAAGGGAGGAGCTGACAGTGTCCTCATCTCTAGGATTCCAATTTTTCATGCACAGCATGCAATACTTTGTTTTCTGCTTAATTTAAAGAAACGAAAAAAAATGGAGCAACTTTTGGTTTTTCAAGAATAAAGAGAGTAATATTTCACCTACTGTCCCACAGCTCTGTACCTGGGTGGTCAGGGCTCAGGTCTTCCACTGCGATCTGAACCACATCCGCCAGGTCGTGTTCTGACATCATCCAGAGAGCAGGAGAGGGGCCGGTCAACACGCAAGAGTTCAACTCACAGCGGGGCCGGCTACCGGTCACCTACAGAACAGAAGCAGGGGCGGAGGACAGGACATTAACCACCGCGACATGTGGAATGATGAAACACGAGTCGCGCAGGTGTATGCAAGAGGCCATAAACGTCTGCAGATTTTTACATGCAGGGTCTTCTTGCCTCAAACCACCAAAAGGTTAGTTTCTTTGAAAATTAACCAATGGTTGAAAACGCCACCCGCTGCCTCTTTCCTTAAGAGCCGCTTAAGGAAAGAGGCTCTGGATGAGCCGCCCAGGGCATTCCTCATGCCCTTCCAAAGTCACCTTCCCAACACTGGGACCTGACTGCCCACCCTAAGGGTCCTGTTGCTTCCTACTCCGTGGGGCCTCAGCCCTGCTATGCTCAGCACACCCCAGAAAGCAGCATCACACCACTGGTCTCCACGGTGATACGCCATCCTCCTCCCCAATCTCTCCCAGGGGCACACTTCCATCTAGACTCCGTTTCTGCTACCTCACAGGCCAGGCGGAGTGGCAGATCCTCCGTTCTGCTTTCTTTCTGCTCTCAGGCTCTGTCCTGAACCCGAGCGGCATCCCCTCACCATGACCAAGGGGGAACCATCTGTCCTGTCCACAACTGTGCTGCCAGGGCGGGGCCGTCCCCGAGCCTCGCATGGTGTCTGAAACACAGTCAGGGGCTTTCCTCCAGCTCCTGTGACACTCCGATTAGGCCTCAAGAGAACTTATTTTCCAAAATAAAAATGAGGCAGCATCACTCAAACTATGGTCTATGAACACACAGGTCCAAATACAGCACTGCAAAATAGCATGTCCTAGAAATCAGGAATGAATGTGACCATAATATTTTTTATCACACTACAGTTTAATTATGGATACATAAACAGCATGAAATAAACTGTCCTGAACTACACTACACACTTCTTGAGGGCAGAAACCCTGTGCCCAGCTCTGTACAGCACAGCTCCTTTCACCAGGAAGAGGTCCGTTTACTGTCCATAATCACAACCCCTGCAGCAGAAGGAAAAGTGGGATTTTCAGGTCACATGGTTTCAACTCTGAGTCTACTCACAACTTCTGCTAATGGATAAGCCCCAACAGCAATCAAATTAAAGGAGCAGGCCTCACACCTCCCGAAATCCTACAAATACTGCAGTTCCTCCTCTCCTTTGTCTAGACTTACATTTCACCGCTGAAACGGCAACAGCTCTGGAATTTCTTGGAGATAACAATTTGTGGAAGAAGGAACCAAGCATTGTCCTAAATCTTATTTTTATAGAATAAAGGCAATATTTTTCATAAATGTGTGATCACATGTATGATCAATAAAACAGCAAAGGCACCTAGTAAGTTTATACAAGGTTAGATGAACTGAGAAAACATCAAGTAACTGTCCTTAACGAAAAAGATTGCTGATGACAAAACTGGACAGGGAAACAGAAAACCCAGCGGGAACAGCGATGAACCTCTAAAAAGTCCCGCTCAGGAAAGACGGAATGAGACAGACGTTTCATCTCCCCGAATCCTCCCATACAGACACACAGAGCTCCAATGATAGCAATGCCAAAATCCAGGCCAACACTGACAAGAGAACGAGGCGACGGGATGGTCCTCAAGAACCCCAAACACAATCAGATGGGGACACTGGAAGCCACAAGCTCAGCAGGGCACGCAGGCATAGGACGGAGGAGGCAGAGGGAAGCAGGAGCCGGCCAGAGCAGCAGCTGCAGGACCCACCAGGAGACACACACAGGGGCCTGCAGGGCTAACCCAGAGGCCAGAGTGTTCTGGACCCTAAGACCTCTCAAAACACATTGTCCAAAGCTCCCTTTTAGGCCAAATACATTAAAAAAGAAACCGCCTGGAATTGAACACAAAATGTGTGTGCATGGAAACAGGAGACAAAGGAGCAAGAAAGCTAATTAAAGGTGGGAGGGAGAAGACAGCCCAGAGAAGTCAGAAAATAAGCAGCTGCACATTTAAGACTTCCCAAAAACAACACAGGAAAGAGCCCGAAACACTGCCGTTGGAGAAATGATTCAACCAAGCCTCCCTTCTGAACATTCAGAAAAGCCAAAGTCAAAGAAAAATGAGCCACAAAAAGTACTAAGGCCAAACATCACACAAAAGTAACAGTTTTAAAAATAGTAAGAAGCAAAATAGCTTCATCACAGCAGACAATGAAAGCATTCTAGAAACATACAATCCCCAAAAAGATGAAAACTAAAAAAAAAAAAAAAAAAAAAAAAAAAAAACTATATATTTCAAAACAAACTGAAATATGTTAAACACATACCATACCATTAACCATAAACTAGGCTGGGCGTGGTGGCTCACGCCTGTAATCCAAACACTTTGGAGGCCAAGGCGGGCGGATCACCTGAGGTCAGGAGTTCAAGACCAGCCTGACCAACATGGTGAAACCCTGTCTTGAAAAAAATAAAATAAATTTTTTAAAAATTAAAAATTAAAAAACCATAAACTAGCATTAGAAAAACTCAGAAAAAAGGTGCTAGAACTCAGAATATACCAGAAACAAAAGAAACAATAACTTCAGAATTAAGACTAAACTAGAAGAAACTTAGAACAAATAAACACAACAGTGCCTCTAGAAAAACAAAGTGAGAAAATTTTCAAGAAAAGTAAAGAGATGAAAAAAACCTCAAAAAAAGTAGCATGTAAGACAAGAAAAGACCCAACATATGTATAATAGTCACGCTAAGGATGAAAACTGTGGCTTACACCAGTAATCCCAATACTTCGGGAGGCTGAGGCAGGAGGATCACTTGAGGTCGGTAGTTCAAGATCAGCTTGGGCAATGTACGAAGACCCTGCCTCTACAAAATATTTTTAAAATTAACTGGGTACAGTGGCACAGACCTGTAGTCCCGAGGCTGAGGCAGGAAAACCATTTCAGACTGGGAGTTCAAGGTTGCAGCAAGCTCTGGTTGCACCACTACACTCCACCCTGGGCAACAGAGCAACACCCTGTCTCGAAAAGAGACGAAAACTAAAGCGATAAAATGGAATAATAAAAATTGTAATTCAAGAAAACTCTCCAGAAAGCAGGAGGGAGGGTGCTTGAAACTACTCATTACAGTGTTACACCACAACCTAGAGGGAAAAAAATAGAACCCCCAACACCAAAACACAGCCCAATAAAAACATCACCTAAAGAAAAATTCCTTTAGCCACCCAAGCAAGAGACTAGGTGACTCGGCAGGGCACAGTGGCTCATGCCAGTAATCCCAGGAGTTTGGGAGGCTGAGGCGGGCAGATCACGAGGTCAGGAGTTCAAAACCAGCCTGACTCAACATGGTGAAACCCTGTATCTAAAATATATACATATACATATATATACATATATGTATATTGTGTGTGTGTGTGTGTGTGTATACACTTAGAATTTTCTTGTTAATTTTTTAAAAAGACTAGGTGACTTATAACAGAAAAAAATTCAATTATCAAACATATTTAAGATACACAAGGAAAGAATGTGAGCCAAGAATTTTATATCCAAAACAAAATTACTTTCAAGTATAAAGGTGGTAGACTTTCTTCAACATCCAGTCCTCAGAGAACAACAGTATTCCCAAAATCCCCTCCTGAAGGCACTGGCAACAAACAAGCTTCAGAAAACCAAACCACCTCGGGAAGAGCGGCTGGTGAGCAGTGCTCTATCTCCACGCAAGACTGAGACCCAGGCGGAGAGAAGGAGCAGCATGCAAGGCTACGCGCTGAACGCAGACACAGTGCAAATGCATGAAACTGGGAGGAACTGTGAGTACATATGAAAAACAAATGTCAGAACTTTCAGAAACAAGAAGACATGCTACAGTGTTCAGTGGCCATAAGGAGTGGGAGTGGTAGAGTTAACAACAAATGTTACAGTGTTCATTCAGGAGCAGCAGGGAGTAGTAGAGGTTTTTTGTGGGTTTGGTTTTGTTTCCTTTTAAGAAGCCTCTGGCTCTGTCGCCCAGGCTGCAGTGCAGTGGTGATGATCTCAGCTCACTGCAACCTCTGCCTCCCGGGTTCAAGCGACTCTCCAGCCTCAGTCTCCAGAGGAGCTGTGATTACAGGTGCCCACCAGCATGGCCAGCTAATTTTGTATTTCAGTAGAGACAGGATTTCACTGTGTTGGCTAAACTCGTCTCAAATTCCTGACCTCAAGTGATCCACCCACCTTGCCCTCCCAAAGTGCTGGGATTACAGGCATGAGCCACGGCGTCCGGCCAGTAGAGTTCTTTCTGAGAACGCCTTGCCTTGTGTGCAATTCTGTCATCCCTGTTGTCCTTGTTAAGAAGGAAAGGCAGACAGAGGAAGTCAAGCAATCACCCTGAAGTCATGGATTTGAATTGAAAACATAAACTCAGTTGGGTGTGGTGGCTCACGCCTGTAATCCCAACACTTGGGGAGGCCGAGGCAGGCATATCATCAGAGGTCAGGAGCTCGAGACGAGCCTGACCAACATAGAGAAACCTCGTCTCTTAAAAATAAAAAATTAGCCAGGCGTGGTGCCACATGCCTGTAATCCCAGCTACTCGGGAAGCTGAGGCAGAGGATCACTTGAACCTGGGAGGTGGAGGTAAGCCAAGATCACACCATTGCACTCCAGCCTGTGCAACAAGAGCAAAAATCTATCAAGAAAGCAAGCAAGCAAGACAGGGAAGAAAGACAAACAGAAAGACAGAAAGAAAGAGGAAAACATGAACTCATCTGTGTGTGTGTATGCGTGTGTGCACATGTGTGCGTGTGTGTGTGTGTGTTTTTATATATACCACTCCAGCTCTGACCACCACAGAGGCAGGTAAACAGTGATCTGCACAGCAGCAATGCATCCCTAGAGCCCAGACTACGGCTTTCAAATACAACATTTCTCACCAGAAGAAACCAAGGCTTCCTGGAAAAATGGCTCATTCCAGATCTGAGAAAAGAAATATGCAAGATGAGCCTAGAACACCCTGTTAGATCAGACATAAGGACGCCATCAAAGTCAGGATTCTATCTAAAGGACTTGGGGGCCAAGGCGA